CTTTCCTGGCAAGAAGGAGCTCTTGTCTAAACAGCCCCCCCTCCCCCGCCGCCGTCCACCAAGCGGATGAGGTGCTTAATAACATTTATTAACGGATTAATGGGAGGACGGATGGCTGGAGATGAGAGGCGGCTGGATGGGCAGCCCTGAGTAGGGTTTTGAGCAGGGGGGAAGCCTGATGTCTAGAGGGGACTGAGTGGCCACCAGGGCACAGCGACGCGCGGGGACGGAGCGGGGAGGGGTGGCAACAGCCGTGTGGCTCCAGATGGCCGCTGGACTGGAGGAGTAGCACTGTGACTGGGGAAGGAAAAATCTGCCCGCCCGCGCCCCCCCCCCCCCCCCCCGCCCCGCCTAAACAATTGAGGAAGCTGAGGAAGCCTGAGATGGCCTGGAGAGGGACTCTTTTTTTCACTTCTCTTCCGTTCAGTCTGGCTTCTGGGCTAGGGGCCGAGGGCGGTCACCCCCCTCCCCACTCTGCGCACGGGGCAAGAATCACTGAGGGGTCCAGGCAGGTGCAGCCCCTTGAATCCCACCGTCTCTCCATCCTGCGGTCCTGGGCGAAGACGGCTTCGTGTCTCTGCCGTGTTAGGGACCCCGCAGTGCATTGTCCCCCCCCCCCCCCCGCCACAGGTAAAAGAACTGATGATGTCACCTGACTCCAAGGTCCTCTCTCTGCCAGTCTATGCACACCAGCCCCCTTCCTGGCCGTGCTCCCCCTCTAGAGACCACCACCGAAGACGATCCAAGGACAGTCAGTATGTGGGAAAACAGAGCACCTTGGTTTCAAAATCCTCAACATCGAAAATAAGCTGTTATCTCAAAAACATCAGCTTCCAGCATTGCCACCACCCATGCAATCAAGTCTTCCAAAAAAAAAAAAAAAAAATCTCCATCTTTGAAACTCCATCCTTGAAAAGAACCAGACAAAGATGAGAATTATGTTCAGGTTTGTTCCTTCCCCAACTTTCAATAGGGGGAACTGGGCTAGACTGATGTATTAGTCAGTGTTCTCCAGAAAACAGAACCAATAGAACATATAGATGAATACATATACTTTAAGGAATTGGCTCATGTAATTATGGGGGCTGGTAGGTCCAAAATTTGTAGGGCAGGTTGGCAATCTGGAAACTCAGGCAGGAGCGGAAATTAAAGTCTTGAGGCAGGATTCTTTCTTCTCTGGGAAACTTTGCTTTTTGTTCTTAAGGCCTTCAACTGATTGCACGAGGCCCACCCATGTTGGCAGGCAATCTTAAGGACATCCAAAGAACACTCTCACAGCAATACCTAGATCAGTGTTGGATTAAATCACTGGGTGCTATGGCTTAGCCAAGCTGACACTTAAGATTAACCACCACACTTGATTACACAGGCCCTTTCATGGATGGCAGGATGACAGAAAATTCTTGGGGCTGATCTCCATCCAGCAGACCCACACTTGCTTTGACATAAAAGCAGGGCCTGACTTGAATATCCAGTACTGTGGTTCAATCTGGATAACTCTTATTCAAACTGGACATTCAGGGGCACCTGTGTGGCTCAGTCGGTTGAGGGTCTGACTTCGGCTCAGATCATGATCTTGCAGTGTGTGAGTTCAAGCCCCACATTGGACTCACTGCTGTTAGCCTGTCAGTGCAGAACCTTCTTCAGAACATCGCTGCTTTTCTTTTAGGCGTTGTTGGATGTAAGCATGATGCTTGGAACCCCAGCAGCCATCTTGCATCCATCCTGATCTTGAAGGCAACACTTCCAAGCAGACAGAGAGATGGAACAAACCTGAGCCTTGAACCAGCCAGTCCTGAAGCCCACCCTATCTCTGGATTTCAGAAATGTTAACCTACAAATTTCTTGATGTTTCAGTTCTTTTGGAACTACACTTGGAAATATTTGAACTAATGAAGAATTCTCCATATTCCTTTTTAAAAAATCTTTAAATCTCTCAGATCTTTCCTGTTCCCATGCTTCTTCTGAGGACAGGGCACTGAGAACAGATGAACTGGTTTCTCTTTTCTTATTCCTAGAATTGGGAAAGGCCTCCCTCTACTACTAACATGTCTGATCCATAGTAGACATTCAGCGAATCCTGAGTAACGTGAAAACTCCATTTAGTTGGATGATTTTGATAAAATGGGAGAGAGTAGGGGAAATATGAGCCTCTCTTGGCAAGTCTTCTGTGCGTTTCCTTTACAGTTTTTAGGAGAAACAGAGCTTACCTTTGAACACTTTCCAAGGAATTTCTTTGGCAAACATTTTCATGTGAGTAAATGTTTAACAAAACCGTTTCTTCATCCCTGCTATAAAATACCTTTGGGCCAGCTCTCCAGCTTTATTCCCCCTGTAGAGCAACAGAGGTGGGGTGCAGTCTGGATTACTGGGCAATGACACAGACCCCTTGTGTGAGCCCCGGGCTGGACCGGGAGTCTGGGGATGGACCAGCCACACGCCTGGAGGGAGGCTCTCCTCCTGTAACCCTGCTGCAGCCGATACTTTGTTGGGCTGTTTATGCCTCATCCAGATGCCTTCCTGAAGGGAGGCCAGATCATCCACTCTCTCCTGGATCTGTACTGATGTCTCAGAAGGCTTCAAGGTTGGCACATTCAGATCCAAAGTCTTCACCTTGCTCTGCTCAAACCACTCTCCCTCTGAAGGTGCAGGGCAGTGAAGGGAGTTACATGTCACAGGGTGGCCCAGACAGAAATCTGGTTCCCTCCCTGATTGATACAGGAATCTCCTTCTTTTGAAAGTTCATGGTACGCCACTTTGCTTTTATAAAAGACTTACAGGGGCGCCTGGGTGGCTCAGTCGGTTGAGTGTCTGACTTCGGCTCAGGTCATGATCTCACAGCTCATGAGTTCGAGCCCCACGTCAGGCTCTGTGCTGACAGCTCGGAGCCTGGAGCCTGCTTCAGATTCTGTGCCTCCCTCTTTTCTGCCCCAACGCACTCGCATTCTGTCTCTGTCTCTTTCAAAAGTAAATAAACATTAAAAAAATTTTTTATGAAAGACTTACATTAGTACCTGTTTTGCTTAGTGAAAGAAATCTGAAGAGGATTTTCATTTTTATGACAAACAGCAAAAAGTGAAAATAGATTTCAGCGTTGGTTTTGCAATGAGACTTTGGAGGGGCAGATGCACCCCAGGCAGTGAGGGCGGCCCTGTCAGTGCTTTCCCCTGGAGCTCCACACAACGTCTCAGCATCCAGCCTCCGGAGCTCTGGGCTTTATCTCAACTGATTTTGTGCACCTGTTAGCGACATGTGCCTGAAGAATGATTATTTTGTGGGTCTGGGAATGCTCAAAAAATTTTCATATAAATTAACAGTAATTGTTTCTTTGCTTTATGCCATGTTGGCTTTCAAAAGGTTTCCTAGGAATGTCCTGCTTTTGGAAAAAGCAGACAGCCTGTGTTGCTGTCTAGGACCACCTGGTGTTGATTCTGCCCCTCCTCAGTGTTGCCCATGGACATCCTCTCCTTTCCATCCATTTCTTTTGCTACAGCTCAGGCCCTGATGGCTGAGATGGAAATCTTCTCTTCTAAATGTTGTCCCTGCCCCCGGGCTTACATTTATAGAATCCAACCACCACGTTGCTGCTACGGGAACTTCTTAAAATATACTAAGCTCTTTAAAAGCCTCCAGTGACTTCCTTTCTGTAGGAGACAGCCATGGAGCCCCGGAGGTGATGCCCAGGACCCCCCTCAGCCCTGTCTCTCCCTGCCCCAATCCTCCCGCATGTTGATTCACCTCTTCGTCCTTGACAGTGGCCTCCCCCAACCCAAAGTGACTGCCCAGAGAGGCCAGCATGTTCCTAGACGGCACACAGCACCCTATCTAGGGAGCCTGTGTAGTCTCCTTTTGGTGGACACCTTATTTCTCCAGTAAATTTCCCTTATACCCACTTCCATGTGCCCTTCACCCTTCCACCACACAGTCACGTGCGTGAAGCAGGAGCCATGTACCGTTTATGTTCTATTCCTGGTGCCCACGTAGAACCCGGCACTCAGTACTCATGTAGTAAACGCATGCGGAGCTGGACCAGATTAACTCAAGGAAGGAGAGACCGAGTAAGGCTGGCCAAATTGGGACTACTGCCTTCAGGAGGTGGTCCTTGGCCTGAGAACTCAAAGTTCCTTAGTGTGTCCAGGGCTTGAGGAGCTTAAACTTAACACTCGTGGAACATGTCTGGAGTCAGTTACGTGATACAGTTGTAAGGTTCAATATGGCACCTTTATTATATTGTTATAGGCTTGGAGAATGATGCTTGGGTGTCACATCGAGTTCCTGAGACTCACCCCACATCCAGTCGCAGGCTGCCCAGGGTGACTGCAGGTCCCTCACAGGTACAAAGGAGCACAGAAGGAGGGGCAGCTATCAACAAGATGGCAGGGGAGGGGCCACTAGACACGCCCTCATCTGATTTCCTGTTTCTGCTGAACTCATGACCTCTGCTCAGATTCCACCCCAGTGTCTGCCCTCTTCTCTTTACTACCATCGAACGGTTGGACACGACCCTTTTCCCAAAGTCCCACGGAGAACACACATGATTGAACTGGCGTTTCCTGGGTTTGAGGTTAAGATGTTGCATTATAACATAGCTCGACCAGCAACAGGAAATATACCATAAGATAGACCCACTCTGGCCTGCTGTGTGTTTCATATGTCCTGTGAGGGAAGAGAAGCCTTCACATTTTAAAATGGTTGAAGAGGGGCGCCTGGGTGGCGCAGTCGGTTAAGCGTCCGACTTCAGCCAGGTCACGATCTCGCGGTCCGTG